TCCCACTCAGCCCACGTCCCTCCAGACTCTGTTTGAGATAGGGTCTGGCTATGCAGCCCAAGCTGGCCACAAACTGTCATCCTTCTGCTTCAGTCTCCTGAGCGCTAGATTCTAGGTGTCCCCCCACCCTGCACCCCATGTCCAACTGAACTCTCCCTGGATATGCACGTTCTCTTCCTGTACAGTCATTTCCTGTCTCTGTAAGTCTCTCAGGCTACAGGGTGCACCTGTGACCACAGCACTGACCCTGATAGAGATGGACTCCCGTGGGTTGGGAAAACTTGGCCCCTGGGCAGGGTGGGCCTCAGGGCAGAGGCGAACCCAGAGCAGTGCGGGGCAGGACCTGGTATTCGAAGGATGGGGTGAGTCGATAGTTGAGCATCTCCTGGTGGAAGACAGGGGTGATGCTGCCCGACATGGGGGGCACAATCCACACCCAGTCGGCAGGGCAGCCCCCTCTGCAGCGGTATTCATTTTCCATGTGTTTAATGAAGGACTCGGTGGCAGAGTGATGGTCAACAATGGTCACCTTGTCACTCTGCGGGAGGAGAAGGGACAAGGAGTCAGGAATGAAGAGAAGGTGAGATGTTCAGGTACCTTCCCGAAGAGTCTGCCAAGGACAGCCCTGGGGTGAGTCTTAGTTCTTTCAGTCTAATTTAAGTTAAGCGCATGACGAAGGTTCTACTTGGCGCTGGTGTGCTTCCAAGGCCTGCTTGTCAACCTGGTCCATCTTCCCTCCCTCCTTCCTTTAACCAGGGGCGGGAGCTAGACTCTCAGGGCTTTGTTTTGTTTTTCTTACGTCTGTGTACTTATCTCCTGTTTTATTATCCTCTGTAACTATTTATCTAGTGAAATAAAATCTTCTCAACTTAGTTTTAAGGAGCAAGTTTGAGCTGACTAGAGATCAAAGGGATGAGCCAGCACGGAGGTGGGTGGACCAGTGTCTGGCACAGGCTGGGGCTGGCGGGCACGGATTCACAAGTTGTCGAAGACATACTGCCCTGACTCCATTCCTTCCCTCATCTCTCTTATGTCCCGAGTGTTTCCACCAGGGGCTGAGTTCTGATATTTTCCATAGCTCCTTAATTCTCCCTGGGAAGCAGCCTCTTGCCCCCCCTGCTCCCTCCCCCCACGGATCTCTGCACCATGATGCTCTGTGAGGTGCGGTGCCTGCTCTATTCCATCCAAGGTCTGAATGAACATGTTGTCCTCTGTCTACTCAGACCGAGGCCACTGACTGGCATTCTCAGGGCAGGGCTGACCTCAAGTTCTGGGAGTGGACACTGAGATCTCACTTCATGTCTGTCCACAATGCCCACCCTGTGCTCACAAGCCCCACGTTCTGGTGGCATACTTCCCATCCATGGAAAACCCCTTGTGCAGGGCAGGGAGTTTTGTGGCTGAGAGTGAAGTTGGGCGTCGTCCCTATGATGTGGATGTCCAAGTCTCTAAGAGACGGCGGCACAGTCTGGAGACACTACCGCCAAGCTGCAGAGTGGGGAGTGTCAAGTCTAGGGTCCTTCCCCCCTCCCTGTAGCAAATGTCTTACCCTGTCAAGGCCCGTAAGACAGGAAGGCATGTGGACAGGAAGTAGGCCACACTAACAGATGGGAGTCCCTAAAAGTGATTTTTTTTTGGTGTATATGTATTCAAGCATATAGGAAGGTGCATGTGCGTACGTGTGTGGAGATCAGAGAGGAACTTTGGGTGTTATTTTTCAGGTGTCTATTTGAGGCAGAGTCTCTTGTCTCTCATTGGCCTGGAACTTCACCAAGTTGGTCTAGTCTGGATAACCAGTGAGGAGCCAGGGACCCGCCTGTCTCTGTCTCTGGTTTCAGCATTGCTGGGATTCTGAATATCTGTCCCCTCCATCTGACTCTCTACGTAGGTTCTGGGGTTGATTCTAGGACCTCATGCCTGTGAGGCCAGCGCTTTACTACATTGGCTGGGCCGTGTCTCTGGCTTCCAGAGGTGAATCTTGTTGGCGGAACACTTGACGTCTAGAAAGTCCCTTTTCCCCCTCTCTCCTTTGAGGCTTGAGCTTGGCGGTGAGCCCTAGGGTACCTGGAAGCTGTACAGAACAGCAATGTTGATCTCCACCAACGCCTGGTCCTTCCACAGAGAGGACGTCTTCCTCATGTCCAAGTTCATCTTCTTGGCTACTTCCTGGAAGGGTGAGGAAAGCGTAGACTCACAGCCTGGCTAATGCTGGCTTTCAAAGACAGCTGCTGTGAGTGGAGTTCCTAATTACAATTAACCCACTCATGGGCTGACTCGCTCACAAGTTCCAGAGATTTGCTATTGACAACCCAGGTGGTGACTAAAGAGACATGCTTGGCCCTACAGCCACCAAACTCATGTGCCAATCAATGGAGGATACTGTGTTAATGCCTAACGCTCGAGACCCAGAACGCCAGGAGCCAGCAGCTCTCTAAGTCAATGACAACTCTAGCAAAATAACTTGAAAGAAATACGTCCCGGTATTAGTATTTGACATAACATAAACGAACATCCTGGACACAGTGGCAGAGGCTCGAGGCAGATCCCTTAATTAAAGTCATGTTTTTCCTCCCTTTGTCAAGGCCAGTCGCTGGTGGGAGCCCCGGTCTCATTACTACGCTCAGATGCCACCATCCCTCAACTGGGGTAAATTGCTCCTCAGCCCGGCTGACAGTGTTCCCAGCAGCTGGGATTGAAGGGCCGGGGTGGCAGAGCCTCTCACTTAAGTCATGAGGTGTCTCGGAGAGCAGAAAGCAGACTTATCAATTCACTGTCCGAGGTGAAGCCTTTCGGTTTAGCCTGGATGAGAATCAGGGAACACTTCTGCAGAAAGCCAAGGGCTCCTGCTTTATCTACACACAGCTAACGTCCTGGTGAGTTTCTGAAACAGGAGGCCACACACACCTGGGCACTGTGCAGCATTACTTTCTTTAAAAGCATAAAAATCGTTGAAATATGCCCTTTTTGATTTGAAAAAACAAAACCAAACTTGTAGATGTTAGTTGAGCTAGGATGTGGACTAGTGTGTAATTTTCTTCTTTCTTGCCAGAGTCTTGTACATACTGGTGTTCATCTAGTGGATTCTCCTTAGGAGCTTTAAGAAAACGCTGATACACAAGTCCATACCCCAGACCAATAGCATAAGAGTTCTGTGGACTGGGCCTGGTGCCATGAAACTCTCCAGGTCCCCACAAGGCTGACGGCTTCTGACAACTTCTTTCCAAGGCGGCACCATGAATACTGCTTTGTTTTCGTGTTTTCGAGACAGGGTCTCATGTAGCCCAGGCTGGCCTGGTACTTGCCATGTAGCTAAGGATAGCCCTGAACTCCTGATCCTCTAGATTCTACCTCCTAAGTACGGAATCTCAGGCGTGGGCCACCATGCCTGGAGATGCAAGAGGGTTTTAACACCACAAACCTAGTGCTCAACTCTGAGTTCCAACCGTGACTCTTCACTGATAGACTGTGGGATCCAAGCCCAGCCTTGTTTCTCAGTTCCTCTGTAACCTCTCCAGAAACAAGGTCAACTGTTGCAAATTGTTGTTAGGACCTTTGCTGATAACTAAAATACAACGAAAAGTACAAGATAGGACTGGAGCTTTATCTCAGTGGTAGAGAACTTGCCAAGCGTGCTCAAGGACCTGGGTTCAACCCCCAGCATCATAGAAGCAAACAGAAAAACAAAGCCAAACAAACTCGATTAACCAAGAGCCCCAGTGCTTCCCGAACATACACACCGTGCATGGCTTTTTCAGCCAGCCCTTAACACTGGTCAGGACTGTTAACAGAATGGTCAGACCATACTGGACTATAAAATATTCAAAAGAATTTCATCTGTAAAAAAGCTTGTGAAGCCATTTCCCTGTCACCGTTCCTTGATCTGTAGAGTGACAGCCGTTTATACAGTATCTGCCCTGTGTTTAAAATCCTATGTCCAGCTGCAGAAGGTTCAACTACACAGATGGCTCAGTGCAAATACCACAGCATTTTATGTATGGGACTCAAGCATCAAGGTTTGTGTGTGTGTGTGTGTGTGTGTGTGTGTGCGCGCATGTCTGCACATGTATGGGTATATACATGTGCAAACATGTGTGTGTGCACATGTCTGCACATGTATGGGTATATACATGTGCATACATGTGTGTGTGTGCACATGTCTGCACATGTATGGGTATATACATGTGCATACATGTGTGTGTGCGCATGTCTGCACATGTATGGGTATATACATGTACATACATGTGTGTGGGTGCACATGGATGTATGTCTATGTGGAGGCCAGAGAGCAGCCTCAGGTACCACTGTTGTTCTTCAAGGGTCATCTATCCTGTCTTCTGAGGCACGCTCTCACAGTGACCTGGAACTTACCAAGTAGGCTAGGCTATCTGGCCAGTGGGTCCCATCTGTTTCTACTTCCCTGGTCTCAGGGCTATAGGCACCCACTCCCAAGCCTGGATTTTAAAATGTGAGTCCTTGGGTTCTCATGCTTTGGGTGGGAAGCACGTCACCAACTAAGTCATCACCTCTCTGCCCATCTGCCGCTATTCCTAGCTGAAGGGGTCCAGGGAATCCTCTGTGGATGCGTCAAGGGAAGGCGCCATGTGCAAGCCGCCTGCAAAGCATACGCTGTGGTGGTGGCTGTGCCATTTGCGACGGCAGCCACAGCTAGGAAAGACACAAGCACTGCTGGCATTTCTAGAAGATTCCCCAGGACGGTAGTTCTGTCCCAGCTCGATCCAGTCTCCCAGCCCCAAAGCCGCGGAGCAGTGTCTGCGGCTCCCACACCGAGGGACCTCACCTCCAGGATGTTGTAGCGAGAGTTGTCGCAGTAGTCGCGGACGCCGATCTCCGTGCCCATGTACCAGCCGCTGAAGGGACAGGCGCTGAACTCCAGGCCCCCAATCTCCAGAAGCATGTTGGACACAGCAGGGAGGCCATACCATTTGAGCCCCAGGTCTTTAAACCAGTCAAACCTGCAGAGAGCAGATGGCCCCTCTCAACACGCAGCAGTATCTCCCGAGAACAGGGGTGCAGCAGCCTCAGGTTGGGGATAATCCAGGCTCAGTACCTTCTAGGACCATGCATAAAACCTGATTATTGACAGCTCCTTCTCCCCAAAACTTCCTCTTTCTAGTGCCTTCACCTTTAAAATCTATGTTTGATTCTAAGCTTAATATTTCTCATACTGGGAAACCTTCCCAATGTCCAGCTGGGTCCAGGTGACCTCACACGTCTCCATTGCTGTTCTTTTACAGAATTGAGCATTTCAGGGATTGTTTCTCTGAGGTCCTCTCCTCTTTGACACAAACTATAGAGGCAGAGACACACCCCTAAGCTAGTGCCACGGCTGGACGGAATGAGGACTGCAAAGTGGATCGACCGGGCCCAGAAATGAATGTTAAGCCAAGTGCATCTAGGCATCTGGTTGTGTTCCAACGTATCAGGTTCCCCAGGACGGGTGTTCCCTGTCCACGGAAGATTTCAGTCCAGGCAGGTGGGGTACCAGTGCCAGGTGTGACATGGCAGGTCCTCCAGAGACTTAGTCAACAAGAACAGCATTGTTATTTGTGCATGGGGAATTTTAAATGAATCCACACTTTAAAAAAAATAAACAAAAAGTCCTCCTTAAATAGACAGGCTCCCTCTTGGTGACTCACCGGTCATAACACCTTCATGTCAGGGCTGAGCTGAAGTCTGTTTTTATTTTAAAAGTTGAGATATAGTTCACCATAAATTAAAAATAATTAACTTGCTTTTTACGATCTTGCACATTACTTAAGTTTCTTAGCAACCTCCCTTGGGCTTGGCCCCAGTCTGGCACCTCATGGTGACTTTCCTTCATTCATTTTATAATGACATTTATTTGTATGGGTGCGTGCGGTGTGCATGTGTGCAGGCGCATGCTCTAGAGGACAGCTTACAGGAGTCAGGTCTGTCCTCCACTGTGTGGGCTCTGGGATCAAACTAAAGAAGTCAGGCTCCGTTACCAGAGATGATCCGGATCTCACCAACCCAACGCATCCTTTACTCTTAAATTGCGCATGCTACCTGCTTCTCTGACCTTGGTCTCCTGCCTGAACTTAGTTCACTCAGGGTCAGTCACTGGTGTGCAGCTTCTTCAACTGAATGCCTGTGTCCGTAGTAAGACCCCAAGGGCTGGGCAAAGGGCAGGTCACGGAGTCACTTAGGAGTAGATGCATCTGATGGCTCAGGCTGGCTCAGAAGGACCCCTTGTCTCCTTGCCTGATAGCCAGGGGGGGGGACCCAGGACCCTCTTTCTGTTATTGCGGCTGGGGGAAAGTCTGGGGTGGGGGTGGGGCAGGAGACGGACAGAGGAGGTCATCGGCGAACCACCCCACTCCCAGGGCAGTTCCTCTTACTTGGGGTGCCTGATGGGCACTTCCAGCACCAGCTCTGGGGGGAGCTGGAAAAGCTCGGGGTCATTGCCATTGGCCTGGAGCAGGAGCGGCAGGACATCGAAGCGGCCTCTCGGGGCTTTCCAGCCCTGCTGAATACAGATCTAGGAACAGAGTCCCCCCGTCACATCTCTGCCCCTGCCCCTCCCAACACAGCAGGCACACGGGCTGAAGCAAGCTCTGCGGGGTCTCTCGGTTATGAGAGGAGTTGAAGAAAGCAAAGCAAAACCCAAGTCAAAGCCTCCTTTACAAGCTCAGTCTGACCTCATCACAGAACCAGGGCAACTTCTCCTGGGCACACAGGTCAGTGTTTTCCAGAAAGGGTCTCCCGTGCCGGCTGTGCACACCGAGGGGGTGAGGGCTGAGTCTGACTAACCCTGGCATTTCCCACGGGCTAGCTTTTATGTGTGGTGTTAAGTGCCGCAAGATACAAAGGAGATCTCCGGTGCCGTGGCTCACTGTAGAAAACACATGCACAGCGAGACACGGGCACAGCGAGACACGGGAGTTACAGTGTTCTGGAAGCTCATTAAGAAGAAAAACCCAAGAAGTGAGGCTCATTGCATTAGCATTCTCATTTTAAATGGTGAATTTTAGCTCCAACAATGTACCTCACATGAATAATAATTAATTAACAATGGATTAAGATTTTTAATGAGACATTTGACACTAAAATTAAATGACATTTGTTCATTTACTGAATATATTAAGTCTATGTTTACAGAATATAATAAAGTACATTAAGTATCAGTATTAATTTACTAATGGTATACATTTCTATTATTTGATTTTTATTTTAAGTTTTTCTCTCTCCATGGTGTGTGTCCATTGTGTACGTTTATGTGTGTAACCTTTCAACCTTGTTTTGAGAGGGTCTTTTAAAAAAATGTTATTATTATTTCATGTGTGTAGGTGTCTTGCTTGGGTGTATGCCTGTGTTCCAGGTCATCCCTGTCACATTTGGAGGCCAGGAAAAGGTATTAGATTTCTTTGAACTGGAGTTGCAGACAGGTGTAAGCTGCCATTGGGGTGCTGGGGATTGAACCAGGGTCCTATGGAAGAGCCACTGTTAACAAAAGAGCCATCTCTCCTGCCTTGAAGGTCTCACTATGTAGCCCTGACTGTCCTAGAACTCATTCTGTAGACCAGGCTGGCTTTGAACCCAGAGATCCGCCTGCCTCTGCCTCCTGAGTGCTGAGACTGAGCCACCACTAGATATGGCCGCTGAATACAGAGCAGTCAACAAGCAGGACCCTCCTGTCTCCGGCTCTTCTGTGCTGGCATTACAGGTATGTGTCACTGGGTCCAACTTTTTTATGTGGGCGCGGGGATGCAAGCCTGTGTGGCAAACCCTTCACCTACTGAGCCACCTCATCAGCCCTGTTTTTGTTTAGAGACAGAGTCTCACTGGCCTCAAACTCACAACCCTTCCAACTCAGTATCCAGAGTGCTGGGAAGTACAGGTGTCACCACCAGGAAGCACAAAGGCTGACAAAATTGTTAAAGTGAGTATATTTAAATATGGCATTTAGCAGTAAAATTAAATATATTTAATCGATTAAGTTTTCTAATTTATCCATATGCTAATTTGCTCTACACTGCTACTATAAATTCAAAAATATCCTCAATATAAGATTGTTAGTGAGCCATTTCTCTGTTTTTCTGGAGAGGTCATTTTGGAGATCTCTTGGTTGGGGCCAGCTGTGTAGCATGTACAGACCACCATCAGGGACATGAAGGACTCCATATAACAATCTGGCCAGGTTCGGGATGTTCCTGTGTGTGGTGTGAGTGGAAACAAAAGTTTACATCTTGGCTTCAAAAGGACACATTCTGGTCAGGGATGGTTCTGGACACAGATAAGGAAGAAGATGGGGGCACACGATCCTGTTCAGCTAAGCAGGAGCCAAGGTCAGCCAAGTACACGCTTGGCAGTTAGCGCTCAGCCAAGTAGAACGGAGTCTGGGGAGTCTGGCCCAGGCTCTGAGTGCACAGGTGCGGCTCCTGGTTGCCCTGGTTACAACCAGTTCTCAGGATGATCATATTTCAATGAGAAAAGCCTTTTGCATATGAAGTCAGCACACAGGGGTGGGGAGAAAATCAGGGTGTGTGTGGTGGCGGTGCTGAGAAAAGGGGGTCTATTTGGTAGTGCCTCTTCCCTGAGCTGCTTGCCAATATGTCCGCATGGAAGGGACCCTGGGAAGGGAGATGGGCAGTCTTGGTTCTCTGGGTAGCTTTTGTCGACTTTGGTCCCCAGCATTGTGGTATACATTGACCCTAGGAGAGTCAAGCCCACACCAGAAAGGATTGACAACTCTTTTATTTTTCTTCTAGACAGGGTTTCTCTGTGTAACCCTGGCTGTCCTGGAACTCACTCTGTAGACCAGGCTGGCCTCAAGCTCACAGGGGCCTCTGCCTCCCAAGTGCTGGGTTTAAAGGCGTGCACCACCACCGCCTGGTTCAAACTACTGATCGACACATGAAAGAGCCATGTATGTCAGTTCAGGAAGGCGGCCAGGGACGTGGATTCCCTGGACCACATTTCTCCTGGTGGGAGGCTGGGAGACCTAGGGTTCATTCATTTACTAGTTCAGGATAAGACCCTCGGCACTGGCAAGACTCTATGCGACTCTGAAAGGGGACAGAGCTCTCATTGGAAGGGTTGTGCCATGAAAACGGCCAAGTGACTGCAACGGCACCGGAAGGATGAGGTTGAGGGTGGTCTCGTGCCAGAGCAGGTCTGAGGAGTGGGTTCTGTGCTCCTTGCTGGTCGACCCCTCCGGGATCAGATTGTTAATGTGGAAAAAGCACAGGGGGAACCGAGAGTCCCACCAGCACCAGAGATGGGCATGGCGCCTCGGAGCTCACCTCTGTAAACTGCACATTCGCAGGGTCCCCCAAGGTAGAGCCATCTGGTTGCTTGTAGCCAGCATAGCGGATGAGCTGTGAGTTCCACACTCGGAAGTCATGTTTGCCGTCTGTCCTCTGGGGGAATATAGTGATGGCCGACCTTGGGAGAGGGGAGAGGATACGAGTCAGCAGGATGGCATTCGCCCTTTGGGTATCGGCTTTGCTCAGGTCCCCAGCTGTGCCAGGGAGTTGAGTTACCAGCTCCACAACAAAACCCACAGTCTGTGCAAGGTGGAGGGCAGGAAACACACATCCTGGCCTTGAAGTTATGATCCTCTTGCCTCAGTCTCCCGAGGGCTAGATCGAGAGGTGTGTGCCACACACACCGCAGGGCATAAGCCCTCCTGACTGAACGTCATGGTCCACCCTTCATCTGAAATCCTCTCTGCGGTCACAGACCCACATCCAAGGCTGCACTAGATTCTATTTCCACAAGCAGCATCTGGGATGGAGTCCACGGGACCCTGCTAATGAGCACATTTTGCAGGCCTTATTCTCCAGACAAGGGGATGCAGTGTTTGCTACCCAGGTCATCATGTCACGGACGCCGGAGAATGAGGTTAGAGTCTGGGCGATTCACGGAGCCGAAGCTGGTGTTCGCATCTCTTAGGGAAAATCTCCGCCACACCTGGGAGACAAGCCTTCCCTCTGGCACAAAGACACATGGCTATGTCTACAGGGGACCACCAGGCAGAGCCTGTTTGCGTGCACGTATGTTTGTAAACGGCCGAGGCACACCGTGTGAGGAGGGTGTGATAGTCATTTTCCATGTGGGAGCTGAGATGGAGGGAGATGAGGAGCCTGGCCACACCTCCTGTCTGCTTGACTGGAGCTACCTGAGGGCAGTTTGAAGGCCTGCGCTGGGAGTCACCCACACAGGCACCAACTCTTTTGGCTCACGCTGGACATCCTCCTACGTCTGTCTCATAGCTTTTAGACCCAAGATTGAAATCTTAAGGAAATGATCCTAAGTGATTAGTTTAATTTGTTCTCAATGAAATCCCTCTCCCCAAAGTAGATCATTGAACACAGCAGAGGTGTACTGCTGAGCATGGGTGACCCCTCCTCTTGCTGGCTCACAGTGTCCTTTGGAAGCCACCAGGATAGCCCCTAAGCAACTTGAGGGCTTAGCCTTGGCAAGACCTGCCATCATTCAGGGTTCAGAATATACTGGAAAGTTCTCTCTCTCTCTCTCTCTCTCTCTCTCTCTCTCTCTCTCTCTGTGTGTGTGTGTGTGTGTAGGTGCCATGTGTACATGCATGTACACGAAGGCCAGAGGCCCGTCCTGCTTTTTTGAGACAAGGTCCCTCGACCACCGTGAAGCTCACTGACTGTGTTAGGCTGGCTGGCAGCAGGTTGTGGGAATTCCCCATCTTCACTTCCCCAGCACTGGGATTGCAAGCACATGCCACTACACCTGCCTTTTTAAAGCACAGGTCCTGAATTTGAACTCAGACCCCTAAACTGGTGCAGCACGCACCTCCCCAATTGAACATCCTCTCTAGCCACTTGCTGGGAAGTTCTTTGACATTTTTCTCAGGGTGATGTTACTTAGCAAAGAGTCCTAAATATGAATTACTCTCATACATATTATTTCTGTCTCAAGCGGTGGCTCGGGCCCCAAGGAAATCCATTCCTGAGGTAGACAAGCCCTCTTTGTATGTGCTCAGGGCAGATAGGGGTTTGTGGGAATATCCATGAGAGAGCCTTGGGTATTCTGAGGCAGGACTGATTCTCAGCAGTGGAGGAACAGATGTCACGGACAGGGTTGACAAGTGCAGCCAGCTGTGGATGGGCCTCATCTGTGAGGAAGGAGCTGAGGCCAGGGTGGAAATCACAGACTGAGGCACCTCCCTGGCTCAGCTGGCTCGTGTAGATTATGTCCTTTGTATTGGTCCAGGAGTCCAAGGTGGAGCTAAATGGGGCAGAACAGGAAGGCACAGTGTCCTGCGGAATGTGAGGCGGCCACAGGCAGAGCAGGTTGGGATGCTGTGAGAGCTGACTCTACTTGGAAAGGGGAGCTTATTTATTTATTTTTTCTTTCTAGGAATTCTAACTGGTTTCCTGACCTCTCTGTGGGTGGCACGGAAGGACAGCCCAGTGTGACTCTCAGTTTTGTTGTTCTCTCCAACGGAGGAGGGGCAGGGGATAAGAATACCAGGGTATTTCTGCCAGCTGGAGGGGACAGCCTTTCCCCTTGGCAGCTCAGCCACATCCAGAACTAGGACTCCACACGGCAGGGTCATCACCTGCTCCATCCCACCCGGCGGGACGACTCACCTGAGGTTCCCCTTGTTGGTGGCATACTTGACGTGGTTACAGATGTAGTTGAACATGCCATGCGCTGTGGTGCAGTCTCTGGCATCGAACACCTGTGGAAAGTGCATGGTGGGATTGCTGGCTGCCTCCCCTCTCCCTGGCAGGTCCAGGGCAGACTTCCTTTCTAGGGGACCGTGAACTCACTGCCATTGCCCCCCTTTTGGGTAGCCAGCCCCCCCTATTCTTGAGGTCCAGGCTGTATAATTTTGTACTGCAATTTGCTTTTTCTATGCCAATAACTGAGGAAATGTCCCCAAAAGTATGTGTGTGGGGGGGTCACATGACTAGATGGTGAAGAACGGAGCAAGCTGTTTGGGGCTGGTTGTATTTCCTGTGGGCTCACCAGGAGTTTAAAAACAAGCAAAAAAAAAAAAATCAAATAATCTAGATCTGAGGATAGAGGTGGGAGCTCACGAGACCCTGCCCTGCCCTGAGGAGCTGCTGGTAAGCGATGGCTTCTCACTTCCTCTGGTGACGTAGCACCGGAAAGCTGACCATGCTTTAGTGAGTAACCCCACACCCCAGCTCTTGCCAGAAGCCCAAATCAAATCAGTGGGGCCACAGAACATGAAAATAAAATATAAGACCTAGAAGTAGAACAGGAAGATAACAAGAGAAGGTAGTGGGGAAATGAACATGATCGAAATACATTATGTAAGTGACCGCCGTAATGAAGCCGTCAGTATGCATGATACACGCTAACACAGTCCTTCGAACAGAAAGCCTTGATCCGACAAACCAGTCTACTTGTAACATTAAACCGCTCTCTAGGACAGACTCAAACTAGGGGCGCAGAAGTGAACACCTTCAGGCAGGTGCACGAGAAAGGGAGTATTGGGCCTTCAGGAAAAGAGACAGCAGAAGGGAGTGGTGGGGACTTTGGCAAACAGGACAGCCTGAATTCTCCCAGGAGGCATGGTGATTTCCTCCAATGAAGAACAGTGTTCTGATGGGTCTCCACTAGACTGGATCTCTTTTGAAACTCCATCTGCCCCCTTGGCTTGTTCCCTTCCAGAGGGTCTTCCAGGCGTCCGAGTGTCACCACCTACCTGCAGCTTGGACCACTGGATCCTGCCCACACATCGAGAGGCATTCCGCCAGGCATGCTTGGCGCCATAGATGAGCTCCGTATCCTTGAGCTGGTAGGTGCTGGTGCTTTCAATCTCCTTGTTCACCTCCTCCAGCCTGTCCATGTGCGCCTTGGAGCCAAACCTGAGGGAGCGGGGAAAGGGCAGGGAGAGGGCCACAGTGTGACGGCTTGGAAGTGTTCTCTCTGTCTGTCCGTCTGTCTGTCTGTCTGTCTGTCTGTCTCTCTCTCTCCCTCTCTGTGTGTGTGTGTGCGTGTGTGTTAAACACTCATATCTCTGTGCTACTAACAGGTTAAAGAGTCTTTATGCCTTCATGAGGTGGGAAACAGTGAATTCTCAATCTCTCTCCTTCTTACTTTTTGAGGCATTGAACCTGGAGCTCATTGATTTTGCAAGGTTGGCCGTCCAGTGAGCTCTGGGGATCTGTCTGTCTACTCCCCCAGCAGTGGAGTTGCAGGCACATTCCAATAGGCCCTGTGTTCACAGAGTGCTGGGGATCCGAACTCAGGTCCTCACACTTAAGTGAGGAGCATTTCTCCCACCGGTCCAACTGCCTAGGCCCCTGTACTTGCCTTTTAATGGACGAGTAGTATTGGTCGAGAAATTCTTTGGCTAGCGGAAAGAGCTGGTCCTTTGTGCGGACTTCTTCTGGCTTCCGAGTGTGCTGGGATGGTAACATGATAGAGCCCATGCAGATGTGCTCTGTGCACCCCGTTTCCTGGGAGCCAAGAAGGAGGTGAGTGAGTGTCTGGACTGAGGACCAGGACTGGGGACTCACAGTCAGGTTGACTCAACCTTCCATTCCAAAGGGATCTCCTAAGCCAGTTTCCAATTTTTGCTGGACATGATTGGTCAAAGCCCTCAAGGAGTAGTGGCCTTGTTTTAAGCTGCCCAAGGTGTTTGCACTGGTCAGTCAGGGAAGGGGCTCTGCCACTGGGGCCCACAGCCACTGGTGCAACAACCTCGTGTTTGTGTGCCTCTGACATCTCTACCTGTATCCTCTGTCAATCTTCTACCCATCTATCAGCTATCTACCTATCATTATCTATCTATCTATCTATCTATCTATCTATCTATCTATCTATCTATCTATCTACCTACCTACCTATCATATCTCTATCTACCTACCTACCTATCATATCTCTATCTATCATCTATGTTTTTGGTTTTGAGACGGCATCTCAGATAGCCCAGGCTGGTTGATCTTGAATTCACTATGCACCTGAGGTTGGCCTTAAGTTTTCAACTTTCTGCCTTCACCTCTCAAGTGCTAAAAGTGCACCCATTTCCATTTATTGAATAAAAAATAAAATCTTTTTTATTCAATTTGATCAAAGAGAACTAATAATGACATTGTCATTGTCAACATCATCTCATCATTGTTGTCACAGGTATTATTATTACTATTATTATTATTATCATTATCATTATTATTATCACTGAGACGAGGTCTTTATATGCCCGAGGACAAAGATGACCTTTGAATTTCCAACCTGCTGCCTCTGCTTCCTGAGTGTAGAGACTATAGTCACACACCATCACACCACCTGTGCTCTGGCACTTAAACCCAGAGCTTTATGCAGTCTTCTAGGGTGCCCGAAGGTGCGTGAGATAGACCCCATCAAAACCAGTCACTTCCTGGTTAAATCTGTTAGCCATCTGGCTATGCTGTGCATTTACAAAAAGCAATACATAGCAGTTGCTTTTAGCTATCGAGTTTGAGGCCTGCTTATTACGTTGCCCTAGCCAACAAATACAACACTCCTTCAAGAGACTCATTTTTTTTTAAAAAACAAAAATGAAAGGCAATGGGTTGGAGTGTTGAGCATTAAGAATGTGGTAAAGGACAGAGACCACGGAGCGAAGCAAGCAAAGGCTGGTTCAGTGCCCATCTGTGATCACACTGTCAGAGATGAAGGACGTGTGAGGACCCTTACCTTCTGCTGGGAGCAAGGTGCTCACGCAGAAAAACCCATCGGTAGAGCGTCCAGGGAGGTGTGAGGCCATGACTGCAGAGCCCCTGGCTGTTGCTATGTGGGCAGGGATTCTGGCCTCTGATGGAGTGGGCTGCAGGCAGTGTTGCTGACATTGCCACGCACAGGATCCTTCCCCCACAGATACCCCTCCCCCTTCTCCCAACACTCACCAATGTACTCTTGAGGTGCAGAGTGTCAGTGAGGACCACATCTGTCTCCCAGTTCTTGACCTTGAGGAAGCGGGGGCACCTGGAAGGGCTGCCATTCTTGGTGGGGGACTGTTTTCCAGAGGTGGGGGGCTGTGAAGGAGAAGGAAAGTGATACACGAAACAGGGCCTGGAGGGGCCGTGATGTCTCGTCTGGGACTTATAGGCTTTGCTCTTTTTAGGTCACCCACTGCCTTCACAGAGAGACGCTTTCCCCGGGTGCCAGGTGTGAGATTCCCAGACACCAACAGCTTTGCCTTTGCAAAAGACACATCATGGCATGGGAAAAAGCTATGGATTCAGTCCTGGGGTAGAAGGCAAGAGGTCACAAGTGATTGCTTCAGTGTCTGCCACAGTCAAGAGTATCTAGGAGGGACTCTACGTTCTAATGCCCAGAATGCTTCCTAGAGACCCGGTGAACGTTTGTGGAATGAATAAATGACCGAGAGGACCTTTGAATGGTTCCAGTCCTCATAGCTGTAGAGACCGGGTCATTTGTTTGGTGGGGACACCCCCATGTGAAAGACAAGCCAGGGAGGGAGTGGGTCTGAGCTGTGTGACTCACGCAAGTGCAAGTTCTAACTCACAAGGTCTCACAGCCCTGTTTTATCTTAACTCAGAACTCACGGCCAAACACACCCAGTGAACATCGGTGACCTCAGCCTCCTGAAACAGGAGAGAAAGAATAAACAGGCACAAAAATGGTGTGCCTGTTTATTGCGGTGGAATGAGAACGTAAAGGAAGGGAGGGGAAGGAGAAAGGTGAGCACAAGGAAGGGCCTGCGGTCAGGGTGAACTTGCTGAGTTAAAGGACCAGGGGCTTGGTGGGTGCTGCTTCAACTGCCTCACCAGGAACACAGACCTAAGTTTGATTCCTGGAACCCGTGTGAAAAACCCAGGCATGGTGATGTGAAGGGGAGAAGAGGGATGGGGAGGTTAAAGGTCAAGTCCATGGTTCACAAGCTTGGAAGTGCTGAGACAGGAGGACAGTTATATGATGGAGCTGACAGCCTGGGTCTTTGAAGACCAGCTCTGCTTTCCTCCCTCAGAACTGGGTGTCGCTCAACAATGAGTCTAGCGTTGCTCTGGGCTGCTTTCATCAGTGGGCACCATGGAGACTGAGTGACAGCAGGAATCCAAGAGGGAGCCGTGGACACAGTGTCCCCATCGTGACCGGAGGGCAGAGGTTTGGACGGTGGCGGGAATGAGGATAAGGCGTAGGGTGTGGCTGGCCCATGGCCTCTAGCCCTTGCTACCAGGCAGCAGAGAAACAAGATAACGGACCAATGGGAGCTCCTGGATAGCACACCAGACAGATGCCTTGCTGGGCCTGCTGCACCTGGCTTTGAGGTTTTAATTAGCCATCAGTGACACTGGATGATGGGGAGGAGATAAATGAGAAGATGGAGTGTAGCAAACGGGGGCCCTGCATACAGGACACAATTGGCTTTTCTGAGTGGGAACCAAAGTCTCTGCTCAAAATGCAGATCAGCACGTTCAGGACCGCGAAGCTGGGGTTGGCGCATGTAGACTGAGGTGGCAGCCACACCTGTCCTTTCCTTCCTGAGTGTCTGCTGTAGGAGGATGGAAGCGTCCCGATGGGGGGACACCTGCTCTAGCTGGATGCCCACAGACTCACTCCGCTGAGGGATTTGTAGAAGCCCAAGAGAAGCACCTAGGCACTCAGGCTCCATGGAGGCTGAGGGCCCCCACACAGGCGACAGTGCTAACCCTGCCACTGGGGAGCAGGGATGGCTCACTGACTATCCTGAGGCAGGGGTCTGGGCTCTGTGGCCTGTGGGCTCAGCCAATGCATGCTTGTGTTTCTGGAGAGCCCTTTCCCCATTTTTACATGGTTTAATATAACAACCCAAATAAGAAGAGTATTTTGTGTTTCACGGAACAGATAGAAAGGTCAGGTTTCATGGGTGAGGTTTTCACTGCTTACCCTGTTGCCTGTTTCTCTTGCAAGGGGCTGGGACTGAACCCAGGCCTTCATACACACGTAGGGAAGTGTTCCCACTGAGCTCCATCCCCAGCCTTTGAAGCAATTCTGTTAACTTTTCCAGACAGGCTTTGCACTTACTGTGTAGCCCAGGCTGACCCCGAACTTGTTATCCTGCCTCAGCCTCCTGAGTAGCTGGAGTTATGGGCTTCTGCCATCAGGCCTGACCCGTTCAGGGCTTCTTGTACATGGTAGCGTCAATTATGTTATAATTATGACGGAAACAGAGACTGGAGAGTTCCCAAAGAGGTCTCCAATTTTGCCACTGGCCTATTTTGCTCAAATGCCATTGGGTTGGAGGTCTTTCCAGAATTTCTAGGAAATAGCCCTGTGTGCTCTGCTTTCCAGCGACCCTTACCACACGTTAAACATCTGTAGAACACTTATCATAGCCTGCCGGTGGTCTTTTGTGCCTCTGTACGTGTACACGTGCCTCTGTACGTGTGTGTGTGTGTGTGTGCACGTGTGTATGCATGTGTGTGTGTGTGTGTGTGTGTGTAGGGCAGAAGACAACCTTGGGTGTTATCTCAGGCACCATCCACTCTTATTGTGAGACAGGATTTTCTATTGTCGCTAGCCAGCCAGCGAGTCCCACAGGTCCACCCCTCCCCAGTTCTCCAAGTGTAAGCCACAGCGAGTCCGAGTCACAGGCACCATGTCTGACTTCCTTGTTTGTTTGCTCTTAGCATCCTTGAAACCGTCAAGTGACCTAAATGCATAGGCAAGGACTCTGGTCAGGTCTTGATTTTGGGGAGGGGTGGGGGGACAGTGAACCATGAAGCTGCTGAGTGAGTTGCTTGATGGAAGCCAGGGGCTATTAACAGAGGTGCCTAGACTTTTCACGGGGTCACAGCCTGACAGACCTGTTGTAAAGTGAAAGTGTCCTAAGAAGAAAATTCATATGACACCTAACCCGTGGGGCATCCCGGCTCAGCAGGGAAGCTCACTGTGAAGTACTGGGTGCCTCCCTGTGGTTTCTCACGGAGAGGGAGCTACAGCGATTGGGCTGTATATTACTGCAGAACCTCAAGTACAATTTTTACAGAATAAATATTGCTTTCTCACCACCGCAAAACTGAAACGCTAAGGATTTCAAGGATCGTGGGAGGGAGGAAGGGAAGGCTGAGAGTCTTGAAGATGCTTTCTCAACAGTGTGGTGGGGGCACAGCTGGAAAGCAGGTCTGGACGTGGGACTGGAAAAGGGAGCTGGGATGAACACGGTGCACAGGAGGAACCGCGGAGCATCTGGGGTGTGAGAAGTCAGCCTGGTGGCTTCCTGTTAGGGCCTTAGATGTCCTGAAAACTTGATGAGACGCTACCAGACTCTGAGAAGCATGGGGAAGAATGTGGGGGCTGGAGGGAGGAAGTATTTGAGGTAGGAAGCAAGAACCTCATATGACAGGCAGGAAGATGTCAGAGCAGGGTCAAGGACCTGTGTGTTCCCAATAGACTTGTCCCGTCAATTCTTATAGCAATGTCCCAAAGCCCAGTACGTCTGAATGTGACCGTGGTGGCTCATGTTGGCTGTCATTTGAGAGGATCTAGAATCACCATGGAGACAGGCTTCTGGGCATGTCAGTAGGAGAGGTTCCTGATCAAGTTAGTTGAGGTGAGAAGACTCACCCGCAACTGTGAGTCTCGCAGTCCTATGACCTGGGGTCTTGGAACTGAATACAGAGAAGTGAGCTGAACCCCAGCCCCCCCCCCCCCCCTGCCTTCTGACTGTGTACAATGACTGTAACCAGCTAGCTCAGGCTCCTGCGGCCATGCTTTCCCCTCTCCCCTCAGACTGTGAGCCAGAAAGAACCCCCCTTCCCTATGTTGCTTTTGCTGGGTAGTTTGTCACAGTAATCCGGAAAGGAATGATACAATACCTCAGCTGAAGACAGGGTAACAAGTTACAATGTAGTCACTTCGTAGTCCTTGATTTAACATGGCTGACATTATGTAGAAAAGGGGAATTCGGCGGCAGACGCTCCCCCACCCAGAGAGGAAAGTCTTGTGACCATGAAGGCTCTTGTGACTTTTGGTTCCCTGTGTCATAACTGACACAAAGCACCAGGTTGTCAGGATTGGGTTATGCAGCCTGGATGAGTGAGCCCTGGAGCTGAGCCCAAGCTTGCGCAGAGTCAGCCAGCATCTCCGTTCGTCCCTGTTGGCACCAGCCATGGCCGCTCTGTGTCAGCCCCACATCAACCTGCCTCTTCTGGACTTGTCCTGAAATGAGGACAGCAAGCCAGGGCCAAGCCGGGCAGCAGGCCATCACACCACAGGGGCTAGACGCCGCCTCCTGTGATCTTCCTGCAACCCTAGGCAACGCCTGCCCCAACCTGTGGGGACTTCTTCAGGAGAGTCAGCCTAAGCCAGTTATGGTCCCTGGTAGTGCAGCATCCTTGCCATGAGCAAATTGTTGCTTGGAGGATGGAGCCAATTGTGCTTAGGACCTGGGGAATGATTTTTGTGGGGTATGTGCAAAGCATTGGGTCCAAAGTGACCCAGCCCCTACAGGGACCCTATGATACTGGCAACCGCACGCTTTAATTTCCTCTCACTGTTGTACCATGTTCTTGTCTGTGGGGGTGGGGAAGAGGAGGAGTACCTGGGAAGCAGACCTTTTCTAGTGGGAGAGAGGAGGTGGTTCAGACCCCGAGTTTAAAGAGGCCCTTAAACTAGACTGTGAGCGGGGGAGGGATGGCTCGGGTTCTGGAGAGCGAGCTGTGTAAGCCCGAGGACCTGCGTTCAGATCCCCAGCACCTTCCCTATGTTGCTTTTGCTGGGTAGTTTGTCACAGTAATCCGGAAAGGAATGATACAATACCTCAGCTGAAGACAGGGTAACAAGTTACAATGTAGTCACTTTGTAGTCCTTGATTTAACATGGCTGACATTATGTAGAAAAGGGGAATTCGGCGGCAGACGCTCCCCCACCCAGAAGTCAGCTGTCACAACTTAGTGCTTGAAACCCTAGCATTGGGTCAGAGGACAGGGGGATCTCGGCGGCACTCGGGCCAGTTGGTCCAGTCAAAACAGGTTTAGTGAGACACCCTGGCTCAGAAAATCAACTGGAGTCACCCACTGGGGCATGAACC